TTTTGGAAGGCCAAAGTAGTTTCGCTTTCACAACGAAGCACACAGCGTCTTCAGGACATGGCTGCAGCGTCAACAATACTACAGCGAGAATAAAAGTTACGCCTTCTTTCTTTGCGTGAACATTTGGCCGGCATTATGCAAATATTTCCACATAGTGAGGTAGATATGTGGGGGCGTGTTAGAACGAGCCGTTTTAGGTAGGCGTGGCTGACTCTTAACTTTTATAAAGAATATCTCTTTGGATTTGAGACTTTAGTCTTTGCAACTTACAGATCTTCTTTATGCACCAAGAGCTTGTAACACTCCAAAGAGAAAGGAAAACTTTAAATCGCATCATATGACCCCTTTAAGCATTTATAATGAAGGAGAAAGATTCTGATGAAATGCCTCTCAGGGCTGCTTATATAGGGCTCTTTCTCGCCCCCTTTTCGCGCGCACGAGCACCATTGGCCATTGCGATGCAATGGCAATAAGTGAATAAGGCTTCAGTATTTGAGGAGAAAGGTGTTTCCCCAAAGCGTCAGCTTATGCTGTCTGCAACGTCAAGAGATCATCTCGAAAGGGAACTGTGCTTATAGGGTATTTACCTAAAAAAGACTTTAAATTGATTCAAATTTACATGCGTGTCTGTTTTTCTCTGTTTGTGTTTTCACTGTGGTTTGTCTTTTTTGAGTAGACTCAATTGGAGCCTGTGATTGAGGAGGCTGTAGAATATGAGCTAAAGAAATCCAGCAAGCGGACACTTCCTGCAGACTGTGGCGATTCCATCGCCAAAAGCAAAAGAGGAAGTGTAAGCGCCCACTCACCTCTGCTGTGTTAACAGTTCACTCATACTAAACTCCAAAACATTCTTCATATTTGTTTTTAGTAGTGTCCTTCATCGGTGTGTGACGGGTCATTCATTAGTCTGACATCAAAATTCTGTTTTGTTTAGATCATTTTGGACTTTCTCACATTTCTCTCTTTCTCTCATTGTAGTGCTCTCCATGGCCAGATAATGCATACGTCAACCCCAACACAGCAGCTACACCGACCTTCACCTCCAGCACACACACCTACAGCAGTAGCAGCACAGTACCAGACAGGTGACACACTCACGAAGCATCTGTGTTTCTTTTACATTGTGCCATGAACCAGAGTTATGCATTTTCTAATGCTTGTACTTTTATTTTTAGTGAGTCATCTTCACCTAACCATCAAGTGGATCTTGGTAGTTTCGTGTCTATGGAGGTTTGTGCATGTTTGTATATTAAATTTTTACTAATTTGCCTTAAAGATGCACATTTATTTTTATGTTGCATCTGAAAAAAATAAATCTGTGAACTTTCTGCAGTCTCTGAGTCCCACAGCGTCTATACAGGACACACAGAAGTGGCTGCTTAAGAACAGATTTAACTCATACAGTCGTATTTTCACCCATTTCTCAGGTATTAACACATGCAAGTTTTTGTTGCAAAGATTAAAATTCACCAGGGCTGGGTAAAAATATGTAGTTATGATAAATCACAATCGTTATTTGAATTATCCTGATATCGATTCTTAGTTGTCCTCACAAGCTGTGTGTAAAACCAAACATACAGCGTATTCTGATTCACGAACAATTGACTCTTATGAACTGGTTCTTTTAATGAGTAGTTCAAAAGATGAGTTACCAGTTTGAATCAATCTGAAACAGTTGCCTGCATAATTAACATCATTAACAGAGAGAGAATCTCTTTCAAATGTAAGCAAATTGGGCATTAAAGCTGAAATATCAAAATATACTGAGTCAGAATTGGAATTTAATAGAATCTACAGTTTCTGAATCAGAATCCAATGGAATACGGAAATCTGTGTCGTTATCCAGCCCTAACAGACACATAACATTAAACTATGAGTAGTAATTAATGAGACTGATTTGATATGATGGATTTTTCATCTCAGGTTCTGATCTACTGAAATTAACTCGTGAGGATTTAGTCCAAATTTGTGGTGCAGCTGATGGAATCAGACTCTACAATGCACTTAAGTCAAGGTATGATAAAAAAAAAATCACAAGTGATATTAATATATAATTGAGGAGATTTCTTAAAATGATGAATGTGTAAACTAAAGAATTCTGTTCACATTGTGTGTGTTTGTGTCCCCGTACAGAGCAGTGCGTCCCAGACTCACAGTCTATGTGTCCCTGGAGGCATCTCAGAGTGAGAGCCCTCTACTGGAGAAACGTGGCCACAGCAAAAACGGCGAACACAGCAGTCCAACATCCATACCTGGTATGTAAATGTCAATCGTGGAGACTTGCACACCCATTCCTAACATACCACAATCACAAGGAAATAAGTAACATCTATTGTGTTGCAACAACAAACATGCAGTGCAGCATTATTCAGCAGCACTGAATTGCTTGATCTGTTGTACAAACCTTCGTAACCTGTCCACCAAAGTACTACAACTGGTGAACTAAAATGTGTTCACATCCTTTTTCTGATACTAAATACCACATGATATAAAAAGTGAAAAAGTGTAAGTTGCATGACTAAATCAAAATGTAAGGTAGTGCCTCATTTTTTTTTTTTTTTTTGTTATTGGCAACATAAGGGGCCGTTCACATATTGAGCCTAAAAACGCGTGGAAAACGCTAGGCGCGCCGGTTTCTGCTTTTTCCCAAAGTGTTCGGGCACTTGCGCTCCGGAGGCGTCTGCCGTTGCTAAGCAACCATGACCTGCGCTCTCCATAAAGACCGCGGAAGTTTCAGCAAAGTATAAATGGATTTGCAGCACTAAAAATCGCTTGCAGTAGCTCTGCTACTAAATTTATTTAAAAATGGCTATCCCTGTACAGCTATGATCAGCTGTTCCTTCATCTTGGCTGAGCTTTCAATGTTGTTACGGGAAAGGATGAAGCTGATTGGTTGGTTCTTGTCACATGACCCGTGGTGCGCTTGTGGCATTCTGAAAAGTTTACATGTTTTTATCTCGATGAGCACGCCTACATTTGAAATAACGAACTTGAGAGCGCAAAAGACGCGATATGTGAACGGCCCCTAAAATGGCAACAGTTCACATTCACATTAATGAACATTTTTCAATCTAGTAAATACTGAAAATTTTCATAAGGAACCCACCATCAAACCCACAATCATAAGTGTTACACATTAGGCTGTTACATTACAATATTCAAACTGTTAGGCTGATGATACACAGGGCAACTTTGGCTAATGTTGCCGTCAGCGGGCAACCAGGTGAGACACAAGGCCCACAACCGATCCAAAGTATCCAGATGTGTTACCCATTCTCAATGGGAAAGTGCCCAAGCAAAATTGCTCAAAAAGTTGCCCCGTGTATTATCAGCCTTTCAAGTAAAACTGCGGGGCAGACATGAGAGACAACTTAGCACTACCATTCAAAAGTTTGGGGTACCTGAAACTGATCAAAAGTGACAGTAATGACTTCTACATTGTTACAAAAAAAATTATATTTCAAAAAAATGCTTTTGTTTTGTTTTTTACTTCCTATTTATCAAAACAATCCTGAAAAAATATCACACTTTACACAAACATATTAAGCAGCACAACTGTTTTCAACATTGATAATAATAAGAAATGTTTCTTAGAATGATTTCTGAAGGATCTTGTGACACTGAAGACTGGTGTAATTAATGCTGAAAATTCAGCTTTGCCATCACAGGAATAAATTACGTTAAAATATATTAAAATAGAAAATGGTTATTTTAAATTGAAATAATATTTCACTATATTACTGTTTTTACTGTATAAATGCAAATAAATGCAGTCTTGATGAGAGTAAGAGACTTTTGAAAATGCTTGAAGATCTTACCAACCCCAAATTAACGGGTAGTTTATAATATAAAGATGCAGCAAAAGCCATAAGAAAAAATCTTGTTCCTCTTCCTGCTCTCGAAAACACAACACCATAATAAGACATTTGACACGGCAACAAGACCACACCTCAAACCCGACATCATTCTCTCTGTAGCCACTTCTAATAACAGACTTATGTAGCAGTTTTACCGCTGTGCTCAGACCCCAAACTCATTTACCAAGAAACAATCAGGTTACCTAACTATTGTATAAAATGAATTCTACAGAAATGCACAGATGGTTATTTTTGTTAATTTGTTTAAGTGCAGTACTTGAAGTACTTAATAATGTTTTATCAAACACTGCATCACAGCCAAATGTAAAATTGTTGCAAATTTCCTAATGTTTGTCTTTTATGAATTCGGTCAGGCCCTTTCTGTTTGTATTCTTTTGGTTCTGCAGATGTAATATGTTTTTATTTAGCTCAGTCTACTGTGATATGTACAGTCCTTTGTCATTGTTGGTATTGTTTTAAAGTGTGTCTGTGTTTGTGTTTAGTTTACCACGCTCTTTACCTTGAGGAGATGACCGCTTGTGAGCTAACTAGGAAAATCTCCAGTGTCTTGGCGCTGCCGCTGTCCCACATCAGCCAAGTCTACAAACAGGGGCCCACAGGGATACACATACTACTCAGTGACCAGGTAAACGCAGAACTACTTCACAGATTCATACGACCACACTAAAAGCAGCCAGAAACAGTCTCTTATCTTTCCCTGTTATCAGGTGGCCAACCGTGGCTGCTCATATGAATAATGTTTTGCATCATGCCACAGATAAAACACACTTCATTGTAGACTTTTTTTACGACTGTTATCAGTTGTCATGAATAAATGGATCATGTAGGTGAGGAACGTCAGATTGTGACAGATTTGTCTAGAGAATGCTTTTGAAAGAAGTCTGTTACACTCATCAAGGCTGCATTTATTTGACCAAAAACACAGTAAAAACAATAATATTGCAAAATAATATTACAATGTAAAAGTTTTCTATTTTTAAATGTTTTATATTTATTTCTTATATATACTTATACTCTTACTTATATTTTCTTATATAATTACTGTAACAGCCAATGTTGATACAAGTTACTACACTGAACAAACTGATATGATTTAATCACTTTGAAATTGACATTTAGTCCTAAAGATCATTTTTGGAACAAACCTGTGTAGTGTGAACAAGACCTTAGTAACTCCGATATGTCCTAATATATAAGAGAATACCTTACAGACGATCTTTTTTTTTGCTTACAGATGGTTTATAACTTCCCAGATGAGAGCAGTTTCATTGCCAGCACAATACAAGGTAAAACATTTCCAAAAAACACAGACAATCTATGGTGGAAGCATTTCATTAAAACCCCTCAATGTTTTTCTTGTTCTCCAATCCTTCTGACATCTTCTGTGGCTTTTGTTCTTCCTCAGATGACACCAGTGATGGATTTCACATTGTCCTGAAGTAGAGCTGCTGCAAGCAACGTGAAGCAGAGTGTGATGACATCACAAGGCTCCGTACTGCCATTCTTGAGCACTGAACATGTTCCCTCCATCCTCCTCTCTCTTCCTTTCCTCATCTCTCTCTCGTTCTTCACGTCTCACATGTCGGAGAGAGAGAGAGAGATAGCCGGGGTTGGGCAGGACCTCCTAACTGTTAGAATCTGACTTCAGTGTGTTATTTGTTTCATATTGAAAACACTTAAACTGATGCCAGTGTGTGCGAGCGGTGGGCTTTTAAGTATGCATGCGAGTGTGTTTTTAAAGGTTGAATCGGGAGGGATGGAGGTGGTCAGAAACTGCAAAGAAGTAGAGGAGAATTGTGACCACTTTTACTTCAGCATGGTGTTCGTGGACGAATCTGAGCATCCGGCGCCGTGATACGGCTGCGCTCAGACTCTGTCCTCACTTTGCTAGTTATGAACGTACAGTACTTACTTGAGTTTATCCGCCTTTTGTCTGTGAGTTGTCAAGTGTTTCACTACCTGCCCCTTCGAACTGGCCTGCAGACGCCATCACAAACCCCTCGGTAGATAGTAATGACCTCTTTTTCCAATGTGGGGAAACGCGGCCTGACTTAGGCATGCACAGGACGTCTTTATGTCTGTCTGGATGAAATAATTCTTTGAGTTTGAGTACGGTGCCCTGCAGCTAACGTGAGGTTGTAAGACTCAAGTTTTGGCTGTATCCTACTCTCATAGACGACATTGTCACTGCTGATATTATTTTCAATTCCTCTGTCAAGACCAGGATCGTTTCTGGTGCCATCATTTCTGTTGACTAGATTCTGTTTCTTAGCATTTACTTTGTGCTTAGTGGGATGCATTAAGCGTCTGCTGGTTCCACATGTTGGTGATGGTTTTTAGGTTGTGATTGTTGTGCTTCTTATTCTCTGATTACCCACCCTTTATAGTAGCTCCTGGCACAGATAATATCATGATTATTGATAAATGTGCACAATCACAAGCAGCCATAAATTATATTTCCCATAATGCCTTTGCTTTCTATTATCTTAATTTTTTGACCTAGGACTTGATGTCGGCTGGTGCTTTTCTAAATGCACATGTGGTTTACCGTCAGCTGCTCCAGTTAAACCTAGCCATCATGGCTGCAGTCAGCCAGCCTTTTTTTCAATCTTTTTTTCCTTTTTAAATAGAGACTGACTCAATAGGTCTTCTATCTCAGTAGTCATGTATTGGGCAGCTGTGCTTTGGCATGTACTGTGCTTATTATTGCCACTTTATAGAGGAGCATGGTTGTAAGAATGTTGACTCCTTTTAATTCTCATAAAAAAAAATAAAAAAATAAAAAAAAAGGAATGACCAAGTCTGCACTGAAACTGATACCACAATAAAATTGATACTTTGCTGTTGTTGGATGCTCACTTAAGACTTTTGGTGTACACAACGTTTCCAGGTTGAACAAATGATCAAAGTAAATCCATGAAGAGGTGTGTTCCTCAGATCAAATGCTGTGGATCACCGGACTGTCCTCTGCGTTTCCGTGATGATAATCATGGTGCCCTCATGTCACTGTCTGTCTAAAGAAGCCTCTCTTCCATAGGGGGTGCTGAGATGTACACAATTAATGCCTGTACCAGAAATAAAAATAATTTCCATATTGTCTCTGAAGTACTTTTTATATTGCAAAGTAAGAGGATAATTATTTTGATAGTTGATTGTGTTTTTTACTTAAGCTGTTTTCTAGAGAAGAAGAAATGAAGAGCTTTAAAAATAATGTTCCTAATTTGAAGGATGTCTGCAATCAAATTAGAAGACATTTATAACATAGGGACATAGATGAATTATTAATGCACATCTAATTTTGTAATAGTATTCATTTAAAGGCAAGCTATGATGCTAAAACACTTACCCAAATAAATAAAATTATTTTATACATTGCCATTTCAACAACATATATGAGATTTATTTTTAGACCTGGACAAATTTGTTGAATAAATTCATTTTGTGTGCAATGTGGAAAATTAATTTTGTCATACAAAATATGTGGTAACACTTTACAATAAGGTTCAAGTTATTAACATTTGTTAACGAACTAACAATGAAAAGCATTTATTAATCTAAATGTCAATTTCAATATTTACTAAAATACATTTTAATGAATGTATGTACTGTATAAAATGTATGTTATTACGGTATTATTATTATATGAACCAACAATAGAACAGTTCTTTTTAACTGACGTTAAAAAAGTTAAAAAAAATGCTGTAACAAATGTGTTGCTTATTGTTAGTTCATGTTAGTGCATTAATGTTTTACAATAAAAAGATTCTTATCACTTTTGCCATGCTTCAGGTATTATTACAGGTAACTGTATGTGATTGATCATAAATGTATGGTCACAGGATTAAATGGATGAGTCATTGGCGTAAGGTGCGTCTTTCTCTCTTTTTGCCCTATTTTCCCCTATATTTAAAGTCCTCCATATATACATGTATATTAAATTACTATATGGATCAAACTGGGGATTTTTTTTTCTCACTTCCTGAAACCATTATCCAATTGCCAGTGGTTTGTTAAAAAAACCTCCTGAGTGATTTACTTACTGTACACTAAGAAAAGTTCTAGTTTTGTCAGCAGTTTTGTCATGCACCTGATTAGTTGTGTTAACCAGCATCTACAGAATTTACTATATCTGTAGAATTTATACTATACTAAAATATAGTTCTACATAAACCTCCTGCGCGGGAACATGGAAATAAAACGCATGTTAGGGATTTACATGGAAGGAATCAATACAGAATTCATTCAACATGTTTGCGTAATTACCTGTTTTTATACAGTCTATGGTAATTACACCCGCGAGCGCAGAATGCGCATGCGTAACTTTGACAGTACATCTGACGTGATGACGCACTCCAGAGAACCAGGAAGTGCTGTGCCTTTGTTTTTGTCCGTCTGCTGTCTTTTCATTCTCCACTAGAACTGTGTTTCCCGCGGGCCCAAATGGCGACGTTTATTTCTGTCCCGTTGAAGAAGTCCTCAGAGGTCGACTTAGTGAAACCGTTGTCGAAATTTGTAACGGCCACGTATCCTCCAGGTGAGGAGCAGACGGAATATCTCCGTGCCGTGGAAGAGCTCAATAAGCTGCGTAAAAGTGCTCTTGGGAGGCCGCTGGACAAACACGAGAGCTCGCTGGAAATCCTGCTGCGGTGAGAGCCTGACAAGACAACTTGATTAAGAAGTTACAATGGGTGTTTATTTCTGCTGCCTGTTAAACATTGACAGCTCTGTATCGTGGATTGTTACTTAATCTGTGTGATTTACTAAAGTGCCGATTATTTTCTGTTAGCGGATAGCAGAAGATGTCTAAAGCACAGGAAGCTATCAAAATTAATCATTTTTTTATGTCGCAAACGTGCGACAACATGTCTCTATTTTATGTAGGCTTGATACGATCTGATAACAGAAGTAGTTTCGTCTAGAGTTTAGCTTGTGTTAAGAGTTTCTTATCTGTTTTCATTTGCTTCATAGAAATATAAACGGGAACTGGAGGTGTTGCTCATGCTGGTTACCCTGTTTGTCACTCAAATTAGTGTATTGACGCCTAAAATTAGTATGTTTTATTGTTTTAGTGCACATGTGTGTTTAGGGCGATATGTAATGTACGTCATTATATTTGGGAAGTTGACAACCTGTGGTGTGACATGCTACACGCCATCTAAAATTATATATATATATATGTGTGTGTGTGTGTGTGTGCACTCGTATTGATGGCTACAAAGAATATTTGTACTTTTAAAATTCATTCGTCACACCCTATGACCATTTAAAATAAATTAGTAAACCCAAAATGATGATTAAAATGGGGGAGAAAACATAAAACGTTGACAAGTTACAGCATCTAGATTATACATTTATGCACTCACATAAATTTTATCCTAAACTCTTCAAGTTAAATAAAACAAGTCCATGAACGCGCTATGCGTCAACATCTATTTATCATACGTCACCCGGCTTCCTGGTTTTGCGTGACTCAGGTGTGCCATTTAGATTGAAACATTCACTAGGCTATAGATTAATAATACATCGTTCGACGCAAATAACAGAAATAAATAAGAAAATATGTTCTGAGTTGTTTATTATATTCGCTGAGTATTATATTCGCAATTTGGTCAGTTACCATCGACCTAGTTTTCACTTGATTCCATTACGTCATGTATTTGTAGTGAGTGGGTGGTTACAGGTGTAAGTGACGTATACGTTTTATTTTGGGAAGAATGTATAACTGAGCTACATGCTTTATTACTTTAAATATTAACCAGCAGTTGATCATTTGCTTTGGAAGTGATGAGGAAATGGCTAGTTAATTTGTTAAACAAAATCAGATTTGCTGCATCATGCTTTCAGCACTTCATTTGTCCCCTTTTATATATCCATTGTTTTAGTCTTTACTGAAATGCTTATTGTATATTGATTGTGAAACTGTTAGAATTGATCATTCAATTGAATTTACCTTCTATGATACCATTAGAATAACATTATTACATCATTTTTAATATTGAGAAAAATGAACAAAGCTGTGTATTCACTGTAGTTCACCGACAAGCTACACAAAATCGCGTTCAAAATCGCAGGCGATTCATTGCCGATTATGAATGCGATTTTGCGTAGCTTGTCAGTGAACTACGACTCTGTGTAGTAAATGCCGCTCCATCTGAAAGCACGTGCTGGAGATTTACTACTAATCACAGAAGCGGCTTTACTGACGAGATGCGCATGAAAATCGCATTCGATTTTTTGCACAGCCCTATGCAGAATTAGGCCTTATTTCCCCAGTCTGTGGTTACATTCTGCATTTCATTTGTGGTTTAATGTAGTTGAGTTAATGTAGCGACTGGGGCTTATGCCATCTGGAGAGTGAATGAGAAGTGTGTTGCTATAGGAATAAGCTTTTTGTTTGCTGCTTTGTAGCCATGCTTAATGGTCAAGATGAATGGCCTGCTTTGTAGCTCCTAGTTAGACTGGTGTTTGGTTTGTATGACGAAGAACCCCTTGGCACACCCATCAGCGGTATTCCCTCTCAAGTCTATACAGTCATGTTCTTTTTATAGTGCAGAGAGGCAAGAAATAGCAGATATAAAACATATGGAGCAGAGATGTGGGGAAATGCTCTTCTTTTCTTCCAGGAAGGAAATGTTCTTGTGTCATTACTAAAGTTAACTCTGTAACAGTGAGGTTGAGTAACTTCAGTAACGGTTCTTGTGTTCAGACTGACGTCACGGTCACATGAGAATGCTGTCATGGCTAAATTATTTGTCATTATGGTTTACGTTCCATCTAAAGAAACTAAAGTGTTTTTCCTCACACTTTCCATTTTAACAGCTTTTCTCATTGTATTTCTCTCTCCCCTTTAGATATTATGATCAGCTCTGTGCAATTGAACCCAAATTTCCTTTTCCAGAGGTAACCTATATAAATTCTCTGGTCACAGTGTAACATTAACCCATTCACTTTTTTTAATGACAATAATTGTTTATAATAATACAGAGTAATTTAGGCATATTAATAAGTGTCTGTAAATAATACATAACTGTTTTTTTTTTTCCAGTTATGTCTGACATTTACATGGAAAGATGCTTTTGATAAAGGATCTCT